CACGAGACATGGACACCTGTCTGTACCATTGTCCCTCTCCTGTGCTGTCGCATCCCCTGGTGAGCAGTCGGACCTGACCCAGCCAGTGGTTTTAGAATGAACCAACCATGGACAGAGGCTGGCTGCAAGGTAAGCCATGTTAACAGCGCCCCTGGTGTGACTGCAGGGCTGTGGGTCCCAGGGATGGAGGCCGCCCCGCCCGCTCTGGGCCCCGCCCGCTCTGGGCCCCAGGCGCCTTCCCTCATTCCCAGCCCTGCTGGAGGCTGAGGCAGGCGACCAGCAGGATTGGATTACTTGCCCCAGGTTAATTGGCTGTCCCTCGCTGCCAGCATGAAGGATCCTGCTTGACATTTCCCCAGATAGTTAATTGATACCCAAGTAATTTGTCATGGAGACCTTGTTATATGCCAACTGGGTCCCCTAAGCCGTCAGCGTCTGTGCCCCAGAAACGAGATTGGCAAGTTAATAATGGAGCCTTAATCACGCCGTTCCCTGCCGTGACTGGAAGAGAAGTACCCGGAGGCAAGATGGGTCACTGCTGAGAACAGGTGATTCTCGCCTAGGACCTTGGGGATGGAGTGTCCTGAGAGATTCTGGGGTCACGGCATCTCCCTCAGTTACCCCAACCAGTGTGGCTTCTTCCAGTGACAGTGCTGACTGTCCACTGAGGAACCCTCTCCAAGGTGGGCGGGGGCTGATTCCACTCCCCCCCAGCCAGTGATCAGGGTCAAGCCAGGCCAGCCAGAACAGAGGGGTGTGGCCTTGGGGCATCGCTGGAGCCTTTGGGATAGAGTGGTGCATTTGCCTAGGAACAAGACGGGGGACAAAATGAACCTGGGGACGCTGCTGGCCATCCGGCCCCCAGAGGGAAGGGGCCCTCTGGGGATGTCACCGACACAGAGTGAAAGAGTAGGTGTGTGGTGTGGCCAGGCTAGGCACAGACAGCTCTGCCCCACGAGTGAACTTACGAGCTCTGTTTTTGCTTAAGGTGGTTTCAGTTGGTTTCTGTCACATGTAATCCGGCGAGTTCTCAGCTCAGCCATCTACAGATGCTCACGCTGGGACTCAAGCCCATCCACGGAGCCCGTGCAGGGTCTGCTCACAAGAGCTACAGAGATGCCGGCTTTGGCAGCCCACATGCTAAGTCGGAATGACACAGAGGAGCTTGGCGTGGCCCCTGCACAAGGGTGACACGCCAATTCGTGAAGCGCCCCACATTTCTCATAAACTGTAATATTAGTCTGTCAAATAGGAACTCAATAACCTGCTTTACTAGCATTTTTGTTAAGAGCTGAGAATCGAGCCAGCAGTGACAACAGAACCAAGAACCACTTCTAAATTGGGAGGGGTCAGCTAGGGCACTGCACAATACATCAGCAGTCAGGACACATACGTAATTTGTGGGTCCCAATGCAGAAGGAAAATGGGCCACTCGCTTAAAAACCATTAAAATAGATTAATAAATGAAAAATAAAGACTTACAGAGAAGTGCCTGCCCAGGCTTGTGGGGCGGGGGGACCGGGAAGAAGCAGAGTAAAGCCAGAGCAGAGGCGCCCGGTCCAGCCCAAGCCCACGCGGCGGCACTGGTTTCAGCACCACGGACAGCGGCGGGCTCGCCCCACCCACCGCGGCAGGC